CCCCCCCGGTCTTGGTGCCGCTCTCTGCCAGGCCGCTTTTGTGCTCGCGGAGAAAGTTTGCGCCTGGGCCTGGGAGCAAGAGGCTCGCTCTCTCTGATACGTCTCGTCGAACTGACGTCTCCCCCCGTTGCCCGCCTGGCACCGACCTTTTCGCCCTCCACTGACGCGCCGACTGCATATCTTGCACAGTCATTCACGCTGCTTTTGATTGCTGATAACGCTTCCTTCCTCGATTGCAGGGAAACATGGCGGCGATACGCTGCAAGTGTCTCGTCCAGAGACCAGAGACTCTCCACTTGCTGTGGGTCCGGCGCCACTCGAGGGGGTAAGTGTGATGCTATTGCAGTTTGTTGAGAGTTTGGGCCTGTTCTGACGCGCCTCTTTTCCCGCAGGCTGTCGTAGAGCGCTTGACGGGGGACCCGGTCCAGGACCAGGGTCGACAGGCGAACGGCAAGACTGAGGAGAGACAGACTGAGCGGAGCTCGCCGCCGCCCCCGACAGAACTGCCCTGCCCCAGCGGCTCCGCCCTCGGCTGCGAGGGGGGAGCCGTAGCACAAGATGTGGCGCCTGCGACACCCGCAGCCCCAGAGCCAGAGGCCGTGCTGCGCACCCCCGAGGCTTTGCCCGCCCAGTCAGATGTTCCCCTGCTACCAGGCGGTGGGGACACCCAGTTACCTTCCTGTGAGGGCGGCGAGACACCCCGCCCCGCCACCCCCACGGACCCTGCTGTACCCGCCGCAGGGGACTGCGGGGTACCCGACACACGGCCCGATGGTGCAGCAGGGGCTGCTGTACCGTCAGGTCCAGGACTCGAGAGTGACGAACCTCCAGCGGACGTACTACCTGCAACAGGTAGTGAGTCCGCCGAACCAACAGCTTCTGAGGACAGCAGGCCAGCCCAACCCGCCTCTGACGGCGAACCAGCGGGTGGCTCTGCAGCACGCGTTAGTCCAGCGCCAGAGGACTGCCCTCCACAACAACCAACCCCTGATGGCCTACCAACCCATGCTCAACCAGCGGCTGACTCCGAGCCCGATATTCAGTCGGCGCCTGAGCCCCAGCCCGATGCTCAACCAGCGGGTAAGCCCGAGCCCGATGCTCAACCAGCGCCTGAGCCCGAGCCCGCTGCTGAGCCAGCGGGTCAGCACACACCCGATGCTCAACCAGTCGCCGAGTCCCGTGATCAACCAGCGGTTCTCTCCCAGTCCGGTGCTCAGCCAGAGGATGACGCCGAGCCCCTTGCTCAACCAGCGTCTGACTCCAAGCCCGATGCAGTACCCACAGTACCCGAGGCGCCAGCCGCACCCCCTGCATCACCTCCCCCGCCAGCCGGTGAGCCAGGGAGAAGCTCACCGCCCGCCGAGCCGGCTGCCGCCAGCGTCGGCGCCAGCGCCGCAACCGAGTCGACCGGAGCCACCGTCGAGCCGGCCCAGCCTGCGGCAGATATCGACGGACGACTGGCCGGAGCTGCTCCGACCGGTGGCGACCTGTCCGTCGGGCCAGTTGTTACTGAACATCATCCTGGCACGCCCGATCCCGTACCCAAGCGGGCCGAGCAGATCGAGTCGGCCGTCAACGAGCAGTCAACAGTCGAGACCCCCGGACCCACAGACGAGCAGCCGGGCGAACAGCCCGTCGAGGTCCGCGGGCCCGCGCCCCGTCAGTCCGACGATCTGCCCGAGGCTGGCGGAGCGCCTGACGACCAGCCTGGCCAGGCTGGCCGACCAGCAGCCCAACAGCCCGAGACTAGCGGAGCAGGTGCGGATGTGCCAGACTGTGGTGGACCAGGAAACGAACTCGGACTCGGAGGAGGACGAGGAGGAGATGCCGGCCAGGACGTGGGACGAGATGGACCTGTCGGCGATGAACCCGCTGGACCTAGCGTACATCCCAGCAAGGACGTACTACCGGTACCCGATCACGGACCTGATCCGGGTGCCGGCGCTGCCGCCCAGCCTGGCCCTGGAGGTGCACTTTCGCAGGACGCTGTTCCGACAGTTGCGGATGCTGATGCCGATAGACCTGCGTCGCGGACTGGACCTGCTCGAGACGTACAACCTGCCCATGACGCGGAGGGCGGCCCTCCGCCTTGCACGCTTCCTGAGGCAGACACCGTTCAGGCCGCCGCCGAACAGCCAGGCGTAGTGGAGGAAACGAACCTGGAGGATCGCAAGGAGCTTTTGGCGGCAGTCGTAGCGCGTATGGACGCCCAGGCGTCTTCATCACCAATCAGCGCGCCTGAGGTTTCGTCAGCCGTCGCAGCACCGGAGATTTCGCCAGCCGTCGCAGCTCCTGAGGTTTCGTCGGCCATCGCAGCCCCCGTGGTTTCCCCGGCCGTCGTACCATCCGAAGCTGTAACGCTCAAGCAAGAAATAGTCCAGGGGGAAAATACTGGTTCCTCTGAACAAATTGAGGCAAAAGTCTCGCGTGTGCTGCATGATTCAGTGATACCACCCGAAACTGAATCAACCAGCGACTCTTCCGTCGCTACGACTGAGACGGCGGCAAGCCGTGAGGATTCCATGCAGGACCCGACGGCCTGCTTCCAAACGACTGAAGGCGAGGGGGCTTCGCGCCCCGCTCCTCCCCAAGCGGCTAAGGCCGTGGAAACTGTGATAAAGGTCCCCGTTCCTGACAAGCCCGACAACAGAGTAACCCCCCTTCGGGCGCCGCCGCGCTCGGCCCCCGTGGCTCAGGTGGCGCCCACGCCGCAGGTGGCGCCCCGGCCGCGGAACAGCGTGCCGGCGCGGAGGAGCAGCGTGCACCAGCTGGACACGTTCGCCTACGACTCGCCAGCCGCCCTCAACCTGAGCACCACCTCGGTCTCTGCCAGCGCACCCAAGACCGACGCGCCGCTGCAACTGACCATACAGCGAGAGAAGGAGCAGCCCAAGATCAGGCTGGCGTCCAAGGAGAAGCTGTTCAAGCCCTCCGTCGTGGCGTTGGAGGAGACGTGTAAACGGATGCTGCCGACTGGACCCACGGGACCCGCGCAGGCTGCCGCTCAAGTAGCGCAGGTGAAGGCCAACGTCGCGAAGGCCCAGCCCGCGCCGCACCAGGCACCGCACCAGACGTCGCACCAGGCGTCGCACCAGGCGCCGCACCAGGCGAGCCAGCCATGGCTGGCCAACATCCCCCCAGCCGTCCTCGCCAACATCCCACCCGCCGCGCTGGCCAACATCCCGCCAAACGTCCTCCAGAACATTCCACCCGAGGTGCTCGGCATGATCGCGCCCTCGTTTTGGGCCAGCTTGTGCACTCCGACGAGCAGCCGGTCCGAAGTGAACGCCGCTCATCAGACGCTGCAGCAATTACAACAGCTCCATCAGCAGCCCATCAACAAGATTCAGCAAAAACCACAACAGAGGGCGGCGCAAGCCTCCTCGGCGATGACTCGGCCAGGCGCCAACAAATGTGATACTAGTGTAAGGGCAAACAAGCCACTCCCTCCTCCTCCTCCTCCGCCGCCGCCGCCGCCTCAGATGCAGCAGCAGCAGCAGAAGAGCATCCTAAAGACAAACGCCGGCGGCCAACAGGTGACCTCAAGTGAGGAAAACCGGCTGTTGTTCTCACTTCCCAAGGACACCGTCGTCATTCCCACGTACTACGTGGAGCCCGGCAAGAAGGGACCAGCAGAGCCGCACTCTTCTGCACCGGTCGCCGCCCCAACGGCGGCTCCGACGTCCTCGCAGCCCATGAACTTGAGCGGCGCGGCCTCTCTGCCGAGCCAACCGCCCAAGGCGCCCGCGCCACCCCAAGGTCTGAGAGCGCCCGTCTCCGCCGCCAGTAAGGTCACCGTGCCGCCGAGGACGTCTGTGCAGCCCAAACCTCAGCCACCGTCGAAGGGTCCAATTCCCCAGAAGGGAGCGCCCCTACCTAAGGGTGCCTTCCCGTTCAAGGGCCAATCAACGTCATCCAAGGCGCAGACCCCTCCGACGAGCACCGCGACGTCCGCCGGGGCTGGCCTGTTACCCCCGGGCTCGCTGCCCGTGGGGATGGACCCCTCAATGCTGTGGGGACCCATGGGCCCTCAGTTCCTTCCTCCGCACATTCTTGCTCAGTGTTTGTCCCAGGGCTTCTCGCCCTCCCCAATGGACCCGCAGCAGATGGCCATGATGGCCATGGCATCGGGGTTGGGTCCAATGGGTCCAATGGGCGGTGGCACTCCGCTGGACCCCCAGAAGATGGCACAGTTCAACCAGATGGCGGCTATGGTGGCCGCGTCCATGGGACCCATGATGCCCATGGGCCCAGATATGCTGAATCAGCTGGCTATGCTGAGTGCCATGAGGCAAAATGCAATGGTCCCGGCGCCCGCATCCAAACAGCAAAGCCAGTCGAGGCAGTACAAGGCGCCGCCTGCGCGCTCCCAGCCGACGTCCAGGACCGTTAGCCCAGCGAGCCAGAGCAGCGCGCAGCGGGAAGTGAACAGCCAGCGGACCGGCTCGAGGGGGTCGAGTCCAGCCCAGAGGGGCCCGAGCCCAGCCCACAGGGGGCCCAGCCCCGCTCACATGGGACCCAGCCCCGCTCAGAGAGGGCCAAGCCCCGCTCAGAGGGGGCCCAGCCCCGCTCAGAGGGGACCCAGCCCGGCACAGCACAGCCTCCAGAGGGGGACCAGCCCCAGCAGTCAACCAGAACCAAGCAGCGTCCCGCCCAGCGCCCTCAGCCCCCTGCAGCGCCTTGCCAAGCAGACTTCCATATCTATAACTCCTGCGCCGGTCAGCCTCAAGATACCGGTGCCCCCCAACAGAGGTGCCCCCGCCGCTGCTCCTGTAGCCTTCCAGCAAGCTCAAGCTCAAGCTCAGGCGCAAGCACAAGCGCAGGCACAAGCACAAGTGCAGGCACAAGCTCAGGTGCAGGCACAAGCTCAGGCGCAGGCACAAGCACAAGCGCAGATGCAAGCGCAGGCGCAGGCTACCGCTGGTGTTGCGGCTTCTACGGACGCGTCGAAGAAGTCCAAGCTTGGCTCCAAGATCCGCAACGTGGTGGATGGATTGCGCGCCAAGGCTGAGCAAGTCGGTGCGCCCCTCAACCTAGCCGACGATCAGCCGACGACCCCGGTGAAGAAGGTGATCCAGGTGACGGACACGCTGACCATCGAGCTAGAGCAGAGCGGCGACGAGGAGCGCCGGGAGCGGCCCGCCAGGCCCCCCATGCCGGGGCTCCTCCCCTGCAAGCCCGCCGAGACGAGCTCCGTCACGCCGCCGCCGGCGCCCGCCTCGGCCTGCTCCGTGACGGTCCTGCCCGAGACTTCCCCCGCTCCGGCCTCGCCCCCCAAGGAGGACACGGCCGCGGTGTGCGCGCAGCTCCTTGAGACCCTCATCGTGCGTGTCGAGGAGCTACGCAACGTGCAGAGCTCCATCAAGGAACAGCAGGTGCCCGCCCCCGCCGCCCCCGCACCCCGGCGCGCCAAGGTCAAGGTGACCCCGACCCGGGCGCAGATGACGGGCGCGGGCAAGCCTCCGTTCGGCAGGCCACTAGTTCCGCCCAAACCTGTGATCTCGACTGTGGCGACGCCGTCGCCCCCGCCCCCGCCAGCTCCAACCTCCGCCTCGCCGTCAATCATCGCACCCGTGGTGAGCATCTCCCCGACGGTGACCATCTCCCCGGCTGTGACGGTGACGCCCATCGCTGCGGCCGGCCGCCGGTCCAGCACGGACATGTCTGTGCCGTGCAGCCTGCCCCTCAACAAAGTGTCCCAGATGCTGGACACTGTTCGCCCCACCCCCGGCGCCCCGCCCGCCAGGCCTACAATACCTCCCATGCTGGCGGCGGGTGGGCTGGAGATCGTGCCCATGGACAACGTCACTTCCCTGCCTCCGCGAACGTTCGGCATCGAGAAGCCCGTCATCACGGCTCCTAGCATCAGCCTCAGCCCTAATGTGTCGCTGTCGCTGACCATGGGGCCCCGGCCCGGAGCACTGGCCGTGCGTCGCGAGCCCGACAGCCCCGTGGTGTCGGTGACTGTGGAGTCGCAGCCCATGCAGCCCGAGGCGGCCGTGCACCTCAAGACGGAGCTCATTGCCTTCGCCCAGCAGAGTGCGCAGGAGGAGCCCAGCTACTCCGACAACGAGGAGAGTCAGGACGGTAGACTTGTCATCGTGGAAGAGGACATGGGACTCGCTGTGCCCAAAGACGAAGTTGACATTGAGGATATGTTCGAGGCCAAAGAAGAACCCTGTGACTCCCCGCCTGAGGCCATGGTGGGCGAGAACTCGCTCGACGTTGTGCCGACCAGCGTGGCTGTGCCCATCAGTGTGGCTGTGCCCATCAGTGTAGCTGCGCCCATCACTGTGGCTGCGCCCATCAGTGTGGCTTCGCCCACGACTGTGGCTGCGCCCAGTAGCGAGGTCTCTACCCAGCAGCCAGTTGTCCAACCCATTGATGTTGCGGTGACAACACCGGTTGTCGAAGCTCAAGTGCTACCTCCCGCCCCCACACGTTCTGTGAAGATTACTATCAAGAGAGGTGAGGTGGTAAAATCTACTGAGGAAGTCATCGAACCAAGGGAATCTGCTCCAGTCATAACGCAGTCTCCCGTACCACAGGAGTCATCAGAGCTTGATGTTTCCCTTCAGAGTGAACAGGGTGAAGAGGACACAGATGAACGAGTCTGGGACGATTATCGTGTTCCTGTTCGTGCAACACGAAGCGGAAAGCCTCTAGAGCCTATTCGGTCCCCGTCACCAGCTGGAAGGTCCTCAAAGAGTTCAATAAAAACTAGGAGATCAGCTGGCAGAAAGGAGAGCAGGAATGACTGGGAACAGGAGGACATGAGTGATGACAAAAGTTCTCCCAAAAAAGACCATAAGAAGAAAACAGAAAAAACAGATAAATCTAAAAAATCAAAGAAGCTACCAGAACCAGAAGTTGAAGAAAATAATGGCTTGCCAAAGTATTTCACGTTTAATGTTGTTGATAGTGAGCACCATTATACAGGGCCTGCGGGACAAAAATGGTTTACTTGTGACATTTGTGAGGGAGTCTATCAACGTGCATTTAGTCTAAAGAGGCATTACCTGAGGTCGCACATAAATTATGCGCACCTTACAGACAGAGACATTTCAAACTGTGGTATTGTTGTTGGGAATAAAATGCCAATTCATGTTCAAGTTGGCTCTGATGATCCATCCACTGGAATTACAGATCCTGACTTGCCGAAGTATGATGGTGGTGTTTATCAGTGTTACACATGTAATGAAACATTTGATGAAAAAGTGCTACTGAAGGAACACCTTTCAAACCACAAGCAGCAACTAGTGAATACTGTAGATGGTGAAAACGATACCACTGGAACCGTTTCCACATCAGAAGAAGCTCCAACATTGGAACCTGAAGTAGCATCGGAACCTTCATCAATACCTGACGCTGCTCCCATCCTAGACCCTGCTCCAATTGCCCTGGCTACTAGCAAATTTTCTGGCTCTTCCCACAAACTATCTGATCAAGAAAAGCTAGCTGTTGAGGAGAATCCCCTCCTCTTGATTTCTCTGGATGAGTCATCTACCTCTATTTTAGAATCTTGTCATTCTTGTGGTAAATCAGTATCTCAGGGTAGTGATACGAACAGTTGCAAGTGCTCAGAAAACACTGTTATGTGCTTCTTTTGTGATAAACTTTTTGAAACTGATAAACTGAGACGCCAGCATCAATCTAGAGTTCATCAGCGTCCCACCAAGAAAGTTCGGAAAGCAAAAATCAGATATAGTTGTGAATTCTGCGAAAATCATGAACCAGTGTTCAGAAATCTGGAAATTCTTTTTCAGCACATGTGCACTTTACATACTGATGTGTTCTTTGGCTGTGCACCTTGTGAAGAAAGGTTTCCAACTAAAAATGCATTGGTGGAACATCAGAAAACAGTTCACAGTGAAGAGGAAACTACTGAAACTGAATTGGAAACTAAAGGAGCAAACCTTTCAGAAAACTCTTCCTCAGTCCAGCAAACTGAAATAAAATTACCAGAAGAAACCAAACCAGCCGAGCCAGCAGCTAAGGCTGTTGAAGAAGAGTTTAAGTGCTCTGTATGTCAAAAACTTCTAGTCAGTGAACATAACTTAAATAGACACTACAGATTAAAACATGACAACAGGGGGCGTAAAAAGAAGAAGAAGGGTACAGCAGAGTCAATATCTACTTCAGAAGAAGGTCAGAAGGAGCATGATCGGATGGATCCAGAGACCTTGTTTTATAGTCGTATTTCAAGCAATATTAGAGATAATCTTCTTCATCATTTGGATGGGAAGCTTGATTCCCAGGAGCTTTTTGAGCGAGAAGTAGAAGAACCACCACTTGTTCCTTCCTCTGATTCTGCTCGCCTCAGAACCCCCATCGTTAGTGCTCCCAGCACAAGCTTTTCATCACAAGACTGCTTCAGTGAGCCTGCACCAGCTACAAAGGTTAAGAATATTAACAGAAGAAGAAGTAGTGATGGATATCGTACTTGGGAAAAGTTTGCATTTCCTAAAAAGTATGATGGGAAAGGTGGTATGACTAACTACTTAAGAGATATGTCACATGTTGACATTCATACTCAAGTGACCATGAGACAAAATGTTTTGAGGCTGGAAGCAAAAGAAGCTCAACACACATCTCCTTCAACATCAAGTGGAACTCGTAGTTACAATCTGCGTTCTAGTCAAGAAGAAATTCCTGTTTTAGATTTCCCCTCAGTTCTGTGTCTTACCCAAAGTTCTGCAGGCTTGCAAACTCGACGAACAGCAAGTGCTGCTGTTCTTGAAAAGAGTATGCTGTCAGTGAGCTTCAATACTCCTGAACCTCCAAAACCAGAGCCTGACAGGAGACCTAAACCTCCTAAAGAAGCAGCGGCTGACTATATCAATGCTGTATGGCGTCAAGGTAGTCCTCCAATGATCAATGGATGTTCAGAACTTAGTGGGGAATGGGTTAGACCCAAGAATTACCTCTGTGCTGCCTGTGATGCAAAGTTCAAGAATCTGTATGATCTCGAGGATCACAAGTGGAACAATCACCCTAATGTCTGGTGCACTCACTTTGAATTTGATGATGCTGCGCTTATTCCCTTCACAGGTTTGTTGGCTACCATATTCCTAGTTTTAAATTTGATATTAAATTTCTGCAATCTAATCTGATGCATTCCTATTCCTTCCAGCTGTTGGAATTAAATCACCCGGAGACCTGCACCGAAGATCTATTCACGCAGCAGGCACTATTATGTCTGCTCCAGCTGTGCCTGCAACACAGCATTGTGACATGACCTGCACAAAGTGTAACCATGTCAGTCAAACTCCAGCGGACTTACATCGGCATATGCTGGACTGTGGTGGAGACACTACCTGGCAGCTGTTAATGGTCGGAGCAAGCCCTGGCAGCTCTGGAAATCGTCGAAATAGAAAGTGGAGACCTTTCGGTAGCCGTCGCCGGAGACCTCAAGGACGTAGAGGGTTGAAAAGAAACATTCCAAATACTCCTCAGCGACCAAGATCTACTAATCCCAAGACTCGTGGTGGTGATGGTGAGTCCTTTCTTTCTTCATCCTCTTTCTTATTTTGTCCCTTATTGAGAAGATGCAGTTAAAGCAATTGGAAAAACATATGAATTATTGTACTTCTTTTTCAGCGGATACAATTCAAAAGATGATTGCTAACCTCCCTGCAAAGAGAACTACCCGAAGAGTCATTCAATTTAAAGATGACGAGATAAAAACAAGAAGCCAAGCTACAATGGCCAGTGTAAGTCTCTATTCAACAAGTATGACTTGTAAATTATCCTCATGCACCAACATCAATTTGCCTTAAAGTTTGTTTGCCTATCTATTTTTTTTTA